ACTTTCTCAGTAATTTCACCCTTTTTTATGGTCATGTTCGTCTAATAAGAAAAAAACCCGTATACTGGCCAGCTCACCATAAAGAAAACAGTGGTGGACTGTTGAACAAACATTAAATGTGAAATGAACAAATAAACTCGAGTACTTTGTTTTATACTAGGAAATTAAAGAGCCCAAAATCATTTATGAAAAAGGGTTGTTGTATTTATACTTTTATTCATTTATTTACTCATTTGTGTCGTTTATTTACCCATAGTATTTTTTGGCCGTTTCTTAATCTTTCCCGACCGTTGTGCTTGATCTTGTGGAAATAAATTCCAGGTTACCTGGTTTCCGCCAGAGTTTCAACGTTACATTAAAACTTGGCGCCAGTAAAGGAACATCCGCAGGAGATGAAAAAGGGTCCCCTGAAGGAAACTGCCCTTTAGTTTAGGACCTTATGAGAGTGTCCCCAAAATGGCCCTCTACCCTAAATATATGTTTCTCTCTCCTTAATCGGAGGAAAGCTGTTATTTATGCATCTATTTAAAGCTTATTTGTAATCAATTTTTGTTCTTCTTGCACAAAACAACTGGCGTTGCTACGGATACCGTATTTTCATAGGTCTTGGTCTGCGAAAATTTGTGCGTATTTTTTCTTGTAATTATGCATCTTTGTGACGTACTTGACGTTTCACTGTTTCACTTGGATTAGTTTCCTCTGCCATACAGGCTCAGTTCAAACGTCAAACTTCACATGACACGCACTAAACTGAGAGAATTAGGTTCACGTTTGATTCAGTAGAGTTCGTCCAACTGAATTTGGATCGACCAATACGTTCTGTCTGTCTGCTTCGGACGGATAGAACACGTAAAGATCACATCTGTGGGACAACCGTCAATCTGTTCATGAATCGAACCTAATGAATAAATTACAAATGCTTTATGTGAAATCCCGCTGACCTAAAGATTCGTTTTTGCTGTTCTGAACTTGGTTCGACGATTTATGTTCGACGTTTGATCCAACGGTCGAACTTTGCCCGTTGGGGCCGACCAAAATCGTAAGTTAGTTCGTCTCATTTGAAGTTCGACGTTTGAACTGGGCTTAAGCCAACTCCGCTCTCTGAGTGTTAAATTATTCATATGAATTTTCTTTTCATTTTATGCCATAGGGCATTACTCATCCGTTCTGGCAATACATTTCTTTAAGGCAAAGAACGAGACCACATTTGAACTGATTGAAAAGGTAAGCGTTCTTATAATTTGTTCATTAACCTAAAACTCGCTCGCCAATTAAAGTTGTGAACAACAATAACATCAACAAGTACCTGTATAAAGCAATAATCTGATAATGTTTGGGGCAAAGGTCTGACAGAGCTAAACTTGCCCTTGTGAAGACCGTTTTCAAAGGACTTCAAAGCTGTAATAATCATGATAAAAACAAGTTTTCTTTCGTACAAAACCTTGTATTCAAATTACCTTTATCTGAGATAAGGAATTTTTGACGACTGGGACCCAAGACAGCCTTTAGCAAATGAGTTTTTTTTCCCTTTTTCCCCACAAGGAATTAATAAGTCGAAAACCGACACTTACATAAGGAGATCTCGAAAAAAAAAATTACCACAACCGATCTACTATTAAAAGTTGTTTAAGCGACACACCTGAGCCGAGGGTAGTCCCTGGAAAAACTTGTTGTGAAAAAAAACATTATGGTGACTGAACGCTAACTAGCATATTATGGGTCGCAATATTCCAAAAATATGAATTTTATGTGAAGGGTGATTTAAATTCAAAATATCAGTGTTACATGACGTAAATAATTTATTGGGACTGCTTCCACATCTTTTCGATTATTTTTTTTTAACGAAAAATTAGCCTTAGTTTCAGTCTTTCGTATTGGCCGTAAAAATCGCTCATTACCTGATTTTAGACATGAAACTATCACTTGGTTAATTCAATTGCGTTGTACTGCGCGGGAGATCTAAGGTTCGAGGTCAAAATAAACACTGGGGGCCGTAAAACAGTCTAACTTACCGAAATCCAACATAGGCTGTGGTTTAAAAAAAATAATAGACAACGCCAGTTCTTCACAAGTGGCTTGTTTGAAGTAAAAAATTATAATGTTTTGTGTAAGCTGTAAACCACCTTAACTGGTCACAAAAATTAACACTCAGATAAAACGTTTGGCCAAATTTAAGATTGCTTCGAGCGTAATTTTACTTAACAATGGGTACACGTTGCTTTAGATACCATCTGAAAAGGTATTAACAAAAACAACAACAGGGGAGAGAGGAAAAACAAGCCAAACTCTCTAGGATTCTCAAATGGCGACCGTAAGCCAAAGTCCCGTTTCCACGTTCTCATTTTATTTTGGCAAGAACCATTTTGTTGCAGAATTTCAGCAGACATAAACAAGCATTGCTATGTTCTTTTTAATAAGTTTCAGGGACTTTCAGTTTAGTAAAACGATCGTGGGACTCGGGTTGAGAGAACAACTTTCTTAAAATGTACGTGTTTGAGTACGAATACTCGTTTCCTTTGCGTTGATTAAATAATGGATTCCATTATGACATGGCCTATTACTATTCAGGTTAAGACAATTTTTTGCCAGATGGTTTCTTGCCAAAGCTGGTGGCTTCCATTCTTTACAAGCTTAATTTTTGTGGCAATATTTTTAATTATTGTTCTTGGGAAAAAATGTCAAGGCTGCCCAAATATTGTCTCATTGGCTCTTCACAATCTTCACAATCTTACCGGATGGCACTTCAAAACATATTATTATAATTGAAGTTTTTTCATTGCAAGAATAGTTTTGCCTAATTTTAAGCGATAAGAAATGTAAGTCGGGGATGTTTACATGTAATTCCTAATAACGCCATATAAATAAATATATATATAGTGTTTCATTTACGATAGATGTTTTCCATTGATGCCACAACCGAACTTTCGATTATACGTGGCCATACAATTTAAGAATAACATAATTAATGTGGTTTAAGAAACAGCTTCTCAACTCACCTGGGCGGTTGTTCATGAAACTTTTTTAGCCGCGATCTAATTGTCGTTTTTCACTAACTTATCTTTAGAATCATTAATTTATGATTGATTTATCGACACGCTTCACTCAGAAAGCCTGCGAAAAGGGATTCCATGCAAACAAAGACAAGGATATCCCGGTAACATAGTTTTCCTAGAACTGTTTGATAATTGTTATTCGTATGGTGAGTTGGTATAAGACAATTGTTACCTGGATTTTGGTATCGTTAACGAAACGAAACAACGAAAATAATTGTTGATGACCCTCCTGTGGCCCAGAGAAAGATCTCCTTTCCTTGCTGCTTTGAACCGTGGAACACCATGTTGGTTCCCAACAATCCAAGTTCATTAGTGCGAAGATCACTCTCATATTCATTTATTAATCCGCAGTTTCAATATGCTACATCCAAAAAAATATTACAGTCGTTCATTCATCCCTAAACACGGGTTTATTGCGAACCAACAAAATGACCAGCTCCAAGTTGGCTTGTTAGCTCAGTTCGTAGAGCACTGCACCGATATTACAGAGGTCATGGGTTCAACTCCCGCACAAGCCTATATTTTTGTAGGGCATTGTTCTCACTACCGCTTACGTAGTGCTCATCACCGCGAAGATCACTCTCGTCTTCTTTTGTTAATCCGCCGTTCAAATACATAATATTCACAGATTTTATATGACTACATTCTTGGAAAGATTACCTTTTTTTAAAATTCCTAATCGGATCCAGCGACGATTTTGCTAAAATAGATATGAAGAGATATACAATTTAATCTCTCAGAATGAAATCACTGGAATTTACACGATCATAAGAAATACTGTGGCTTAACGTTTCCTTGGGGAAAGGACGGACGCCCTATCTAAACTGGACTGCGAGCACTCCCTCTTTTTCAGCGAAGGCCGTCGTGGAGTCCAAAAAAAAAATTAGCGAAAAAACCAAATGGTGACTAGTGCGCCGAGCAAACACTGGGAGTAAGGTATCACTCACAAAGTTCTTTACGGCGCGCTAACAATTTTTTGTTTCTGATTTTTTTTTAAACTCGTGCGACGAATTTCGCAGAAAAGGAGGGTTTTATCGTAATCTATATCTAAATTGATGCGTTTTCGTCCGGAAAGGCATACTTTCAGATTTGTTTTTGGCCCTCACTTAGACTGAAACACCCGAAAACAAAGCCTTTCGTCAACAGTTACAAAAGTGATCTGATGTAAAAAAGCATCTTTTTGAAAACCATTTTCTTTTGTGAACAAATGGAAACGAGGATTTTGAAAACGTTGACGAAAAAGACTTCAAGTACAGCAGCCTCAGTCTGCGTTTTCGGGTGTTTTGTGTGGATTCAGTATAGACGAAATTGCATGAAAATATGCGCGTTTTTAAATGTTAACGTATTAATGTGGGGAGTCTAGAGCAAGATGAAATTGTTAATGTGGTTGATAATATTTTGATTAATTTTGCCTGAGACGGAAATGGACACTTTTGAAGATGCTTTTGTCTGGTCGAACCCTAAGTCGTGCCGCATTTTGCACTGATTACCGGAGTGCCGAGTACATCCATAACCTTAATTGGACATTTAGTATGAGTTATGGAAAATGTTCAACATTGTGTACACCGAAAGCCACCTTGAGCTAACTCACCTGCCTACATGTGGAGATGAAGCTGTTAATTGTAAGCGCAAATTGATGAAGGAATTAAATGAGACTACTGAACCTCAGCCAACACTGACCAACACCAACAAAATAGTGTAAAGAAAACGGGAAAAAAATCATAAGTAGGTTATTTTCTGGGTATTACCAATAAGAACCTCAACTCAGCAAAATATACGAAGTAAAAACGTAATGGAGTAGATGTTCTTAATAGATACTAATCAAATTTAAATATGCAGCATGATTACTCAGTTTGAAAAGTGTTATCATTTTAGGCAAATTAAATGATAAAAGTTTGTGTTTCAGACGGCTGTTTCCATCGCTGACTCTTTTTCCAAGCGGCAAGATGAATCCAGAAGGACGCCGACAACTAATTTTTCTGTAATAAGAATTGAAGTTCGTTTAGCAATACCACTATTTATTGTCTCCTGCTGCCAAAGCAATGAACACCATGCAGCACGAGTCATATTCCAACGAGACGGAAAATTCCACAAGGCTAACAAGTCTATATAAAGAGACAAAAAAAGTTGAGGTTGCAGTACTGTTCTCTCTTGCGATGGCCATCGTTGTTATCAACAGCTCAGTGTTTTATCTCTTCTTTAAGAGGAAAACTCTGCGAACCACTTCAAATTATCCACTCTTCAGCTTGGCTGTTTGCGACTTCTTCTGTGGTTTTATAATCATTCCACTTTTCGCATTCCTAGTTTTCACGCCGTTGATACAACCCAGTGGATCGATTAGGTTTTATCTTGGATTTGTTTTGACTGTCCTTCATAACTTTGTGGCCATTGCTACTGTGTATCACATCGTTGTTGTGACAGGAGAGCGTTATTTGGCAATCAAGGCTCCATTTAAACATCGAGTACTTCACAAGAAAAGCATTTTGACAGTTTTAATAATTGTTTGGCTTTCCTCGCTTGTTGTATCTTTTCTCCCTTTCACATGGATCAGTAAAATACATCCAGTACTTAAACCAGAATCTTCAAGATACGCACTCTCGTTTTCGATATTCTGTATTGTGTTTGCTTTAATTTTACCTTACATCTTCTTGGTCTATGCATTCATTGATATGTTCAAAGGTATCAATAGAAGATCGAAGAGTCTACATCGGAAAAAGGGTGGCGGGGTGCTTATAATTCGACGTTCAACAAGCTTACGTAACCGGTCAAGTTCTGAAGGCAAGTCTTTGGCACTCTTCGCCATGATGGCGTCTGTATACCTGATATGTTGGTTCCCCTGGTTTGTCTTGTTTTTATTGCACCAGCTTTCGGCCATTGACTCTTCTAAATTGGTTGTACCTTCTCAAGTGTCACTGATCATCAGATATGCGACATCTGTAGCCAATCCATTACTCTACACCTTCATGAAAAGGGACTTCTTTCAGGCTTTTAAGTTTGAATTCAGCAGACTCCGAGGGTCAGCAATTCCTCTTACCGATTTACGCGGTCAGCAAACGTCGAGGGAAGTTGGTAGCTCTATCACAGAATGTCGGGAGCATCTTTACGAGAGTGCGTGTTGAACATCTATGAAAGTCTATATCAAGGATCCCTTGAAGTTCCTGGAAATCGTCGTTTCACCGGGAATCAGTAAAGTTTTGTTTTTGACCAGTAATTTGAACAGTTTTTTAATTTGGCAACGGCGGATGGCGAAGAAAACTGTATCCATTTCATACAACGCTTAGTGGTATTTCAATTGTTACTTTCATTCCGATCTGCTGGAACTACTGCTACCGTCTTGTAATGTTATGACTGCATCTCGTCGTAAATGAGGCATCAGAAAAAATGCTTCGAAGTCGAGCAGATTTAAAGCGAGAAAGCTTAAAGGATAACGAAAGATCCTAAGGAAACAAAGACACCAGCAATTACCTCAGGGATATAACTATTGCCATACTTGCTTATGATTACGTATCTAATCTTCAAGAGTTGGATCGTAGGATTCGCCTTACTACGTTCTCTTCATTTTCACAACTGATAATTCACGCTTTGCCTACTTGCCTAAAACAGTAGGAAAACTGAAAAATAATTAGCGAAGGACTGATATGATAGAAATACGACGATATCAAACAGAGATTCAGTCATCTTCTGATGAAGATTGTCCGCAGCAGACTGCCGTGGATCAAGAATCGGTTTTATCGTCGATTCGCCATCTCAAATTGGAGAAACTATGTTAATATGGTGATTAGTGGTAAATGGGAGATTAAGATTTTTCAATCTGAATAAAATTGCATATCATGGGTGTTCGCTTGAAAATTATTCGCCACGACTGAGACGCAAATACGGTTCAGCATTTGGTTCCCTTGGGTTCCTTGAAAAGATATCATCCCACAGCCCAGACCATAACATCGATTTAAAATTAGCAGTTAAATCAAATTTAAAACAAATTTGTTAAATTTTCAACATTGTCAATATAGCATATTATTTTCAAGGTCCCATTTTTGGGAGCTTTACTCGGGAATCGAGTCAAACATACTTCTAGCCTGCTTGGCGGGGGCTGATTTGTTGACAGGACTGGTTGTTCATCCCTTTGGAATCGCTTCTAACGTTAAGAGAGCCAGCTCACCTTCAGCATAGGGCCATTTTATATACTTGAAACAGCTTCCGTTGTCCCTTTTGTTGGACAGCGTCTTTTAATATTGACACACCTCGTACTTATCATCATCGATCGCTACATTAAGATAAAGGATCCCTTAAGGTGACAGAAAATTGTCCAAAACGGCGAATCAGGAGAGCTTTATTTTCAGCCTGGAAATTACAACAGTTTTTATAGTTCATGAGATCATCTTAGCTATCTTACACGGCGAAACTAAAGTATACGACCTGTTTTGGACGCTAGTTTCTATCGGGACTGCTGTTTTCTTTCTGATCTGTATTGTTTTCATCTCTTACTGTAATGGCCATATTTACTCAGAAACATGGCGACAGATAAAACGCTTCGAAGAAGAACATGCTTTTTACAAGGAAGCTAAAAGGATAAAAGAAAAAAAGCAATGATCTTGGAGACGTTTATATTGACTTATTAACCAGTCATTATACCTTTTTATACTAGCAGCTATTCCAAACAACCTAGAAACTCGACATGTAAGTGTTTTAATCATTTGCAGTATAGAACTTGCCCCACTAGGTTCTTTTTCAAATCCGATAATTTACTCTTAGTGCACTCAAAACATAATGCAAGCTTTTAGAGAGATTTCTCGCATAGGAAAGCCGGATGGAACGCATCCTGAGATTGAAATAACAGAAACACTCGGCATCGAAAAGAAACTCATCCACTAATGAAACTTTATCATGTCCCAGTTTTGATGTAATTCCGTCATCTCCAAGTCGTTGAAGCCCTATAAATTAGATGGTTCACGGTACTCAAATGGGATATTTAGATTGTTTTATCATAAACTCTTCCTCCAATAGACTCATTCGTGTCAGATAATGGAAAGGTGATCACTTTGCATGATAAATCTTCAAAAGGAAAATCTAGAATGGCTAATTATAACCACCTGATTTCGTTGATATGATGATTTTAAATAAAAAATTCAAGTTTTTTTTATTCTTCTATACCATTACCTTATCTCCTTTTATTTCGTGCTCAAACTTATTTACAAACTATGCCATATAGCGAATGGACGCGAATCCCTCCATGTGTTGAATTGAACTTATTCCAAGTTGGACCGAGCTAAATTGAAAATAAGAAAGTAGGCCTGCTGATTTAGACGCCGAGCTTAATTTCCTACAGTGAAACTTTCATCTTATGTCAAGTCAGTGCTCAAAATTTACAAACTATACCATATAGCTTGTAGATGCGGATCCCTTCATGTGTTGAACTGAAATCATTCCAAGTTGGACCGAGCTAAATTAAAAATAAGAGAGTAAGCCCACTGATTTAGACGCCGAGCTGAATTTCCTACAGCGAAACTTTTATGTTATATGTTGGGCTTAAAGGTAGTTCGGCGTTTAAACCAATCCTAATAGTCTTTATTTTGTGTATTTATGGATGTTATTGTGCACTCTTCATCCAAAAGGAAACATGAAAGACAAAAGCTAATCAGGGAACAAAACAAATCTTACTGTAAACTTTGTTTCCAGTGAGGAAATAGCAGAGAATACTTCTTACAGCTTGTATGCTCAAACCCTGAATTTTTGCTTCTCGGAAAAAGTTGCAGACAGCAAAGCACCAAAATGCAAAACTTTAGAAGGACAAAACCGTTTGGAACAATTTATTCACTGTCATAAAATTGATCAGCTTCTCAAAATTTTACTACATGACAGTGAAAAGGACCTTTGACGTTCAATCTTGTCTTCTAAATATTCCAAAATACGTTTTTCGAGGAAAAATTAAAAATTGCAAAGCGTCGAGGAAGAGAGAGAGGGAAAAGAAGAGAAACACATATATGTTAGCTTAGGTTGAAAATAGTATAAACACAGTTAGTTACGTTGTCTCAACAGTTTTTCCATGATTTTACATCCCAAATTATGTGCTTTAAATTTTTATTTCATGTTTAACACTTTTATTTAAAAAATAGAGGTGGGCTCCAGAAACCATTTTTACTTCTGTCGTCGCCATTAAGAAATAATCATATAACTCTGATCATATTTTGCGATTTTAAGGTATGACCTCACAAAAGGCATTCTTGACTCAGCCTATTAGTTTTTGCGATAACCGGATGAGCAGTTGTTTGACAAGATATTGTACTCTCTTCATACTGAGCGTTGTAATTTCCGCCGTTCACTGGCGTAAATGGCCAGGTTACCAAGTTGTTTTCAAATGGCGGCATCATTGGAACGAGTACTGAGGAGAACAAAAAATTGATGGACAACTCAAAGAATTTCAGAATGAAAAAGGGGTAAAAGAAAGGCAAGTTTTTTCAAGATAGACAAACCCTGCTACATACCATTCAACAGCCCTTATACTTCACAGTGCGATGATAATCTCGCCATGAAAAAATATTGCTTGTACGTGTGATCATTTGGAATAGAGTACTTGGAGGATGGAGGGGAAGGGAAGCAGGGGCAGGAGGGAGACCTGCCAGAAGGGGGGAGGGGAGAGGGGAGATTGTAAGAAAATTGCATTAAGAGGGATAATAAAGAGAGGGTAGGGCTCCTTAGAACGTTTATGGTTCAGCGGCATGAAAGCTTTTAGATCTGTAAACGATGCTGGAAACAGTCCAAAGCGCGCATAGATGCATGTTCAGTAACTTATCTATGAAGTAACAGGCAAAACGAAGACCACAGAACCAAAGGCGATAAAGGGTACTATTGTTTATTCAAAGCAAATGTTTCATTTGGTCATGTTACATCTCTATCGTCTTAATATTAGAGCTAATATACACAGCATAACCGCCTTGTGTAGTTAGATCTCCTTGTCGTCTTTCCCATCTTTCCAAAGTGCGACTAATACTAAGATAAATAATGAAGAAGGGTTAAGTTAAAAGGCATTATATGATTTCTAAAAGGCTCTTCTGAAACATCTTTTTCCTCCATCGCCTAGTTAATCGTTAAGAAGGACTTACATAAGGCACAATAACGTACGAACGCAAAAGGTATGAAAAACTTTCATAAAATCCTAGCATTCTTTTGCTTACATTTAACGTTGATAAAATTTAAACCTGGTTCGAGAAACTCCAATTAAGTCGTGTAAAAGTCAGAGATTAACATCGAACATACCGCAACAAAAACCAACGAAAAAGTTGTCTTCGTAATCACTCTTAAAATGCCTCAAGTTATCTGTGATTTCATGATGTATCATAATCAGTTATCCTATTTGGCGTGTTAAAAATTTCTCAGAAGCTTGCCATACCTGTGATTAAAAAAGCACCTCGTACACGTAGTTATCATAGTCCCTTCCGACTCCGTTCCAGCAATTAGTGGACGGACCGTGTACCTTGTAAGATTCTGTGTCAGACACCCAACACTCGCCGTAAAACTGGATGGCGAAGTATTTCTTGTTTTTCTTTTTGGCAGCTTCGTAACACTTCTCGACTACAAGTGAAATTAGAAGCAAAAAAAAAATTAGAGCGATGCACGATCAATGATTTACTAACGAAACAGGAAAAAAGACGAGAGAGTAAAATTGCCCCTGCCTTTTAACCCTGTCACTCCCATGATCTCACTAGTAATTCTCCTTAATGTCTACCATACAATTCATATGATGATAGTTCGGAGAATTTGGTATTGAATCAATTAACAAAATAGTTTTCCGTAGTGTCATCACCTGTCTGCTTGATATTGGGGAATTTATGGAAGTCAAAGGGTGAATTGCTATCTTATAACAACATATGCGTTTGGCTCTAAGTTCTGTCTGTTCATATCTATGCGCTTTCCTTTGAAATCTAATAAAGTGAAAATGAAAAAACAAAGTATTTGCAAGATTATGAAAAGTTTCCTATTCCAATAAGGGAAGGGAGCGCTTAAGACTTTTACGTCTGCAGTTTCACTCTCTTAGACTACATCAGGACGATAAGAATCATTATGCGCATGTCTATGACAGTATGCTTCTCTCAAAAGCTGCCAAGATAAACACGAAAATCTTCGCTCTAGTCGTTCTCTCATTACACCATCACAAACACCTTCCCGTACTGACCTGTCATTTTGGGCAAACCACTTTGAATATGACAAACCTGTTTTCTCCAGGTGGAACCAGTCGATTTGTCCCCGAAAATTCTCCAGCATTGTCATGGTGCGACCATCACCAGTGTCTCTCCAACAGCCAAGGTCCCGCCACGTTGCGAAACGATAAACAAAGTTGTGAATTTCATCGCCAACACCTACATCGTCAAATGAAGATCTCTCTTTGAGACTGTTTATTATCTATCGCCGAGGGGGGGTTGGTCAGGGGAGTTTGGTTGTGTTACGATAAAATTTACCTGATCCCCCCATAAGACTCTGTAATACTCTTATGATAATATCCCCCCCCCAAAAAATTGGTAGTCAATTGACAGTACATTCTCTATTGTCCCCCTTTATACTCTGTTAACGACGACTGATCCGCTTATGTTCCCCCTAAAAGTCATGTGACCCACCCCTCCCTCAAAATAAAGAGTCCTCTGACCCCCTACGCGATAAATAGAATGATCCCTTCAGAGATAGTCATCCCCTAACTCGTTCATAAGTCTGGTCAAGCAACTTTGCGGACAGATCAAGCTGTTTTGTCGCCGGAGAGGGTATGCGGTAAGTGAAAAACCTGAATGACGGCTGTTAAGAAGGCTAAAGGAAGCTCTTTCAAGTGACTGAGCATCCTTGGATTCAACAATACCCATCAGCTCAGACGACATATCGTAATTGATCAGAGCCTGTGACGCTGATGGAAATGAAAAGATGGCTTTTAGAGAATTAGAGACCTTATCATTCAATTGTGCCAGCAAAGGAACAAAGTACGTATAAATTATATCTTAATGGGTGCTGCACTGTGTAAGAAGCAAAGTTAGGTTTTGCTCCTTTGACTTATTAATTTTTAGCTGTCTAATCTGTAGCACAGAAAAGTGCTCGGCAAAGAAGCCTTATGAGATTTCCACGTGATCAAAATGAGCAGCGTAGGATTTTTGAATCCTTCTGGAAACTCCAAATATGGCAGCAACCTTGAATAACCTAAACAAGAGTAACAACAACAGAGCTTTTTCCAATTGAGTGTCGTAAAACCAAAACCGAAGTAATCACAACGGCCAATCAAGAGAAAGGAAAATACCTTTACGAGCCAATGAGAACCCAAAGAAAAAACAAATGAACTACCTAAAGCGCGGGAAAATGAGAGCGACCGACTCGTGATTGGTTTAAGTGTTGCATTTTTTAGGTTTAGAGAGTGGTGCGAGTTTTCTGGACCAATCACAGAGCGAATTGAAGGCAAACAAACAATCCTGGATTACTTTCGACGCTCAAATGAAATTCTTTTAAGGCTTACATGTGGAGACTCCGTCTCCTCTGGATCCTCTCTTGAACTTCATACTCACCGTCAGTACAACCTTTACCGGCACCGTGTTTATCATACGTTGGCCGAGGGCGGTCGTCCCCCCAGCACTCTCCATAAAACTGCACCCCGAAATACCGATAACCAAGCTCGAACGCACGCTCTGCACACCTCGTCACCAGCGATCGTAAGTTGTGCCAATCGATATTTCCTCGGAGGGAGGCATACATGTTGTTTAAGGCCCTGTCTCCTTGGGCGTCACGGTAACACCCGACCTCAAGGATTTGTGGAAGGCCTGAGTTTATAGGAACAGAAAAGTTATATGAGGCAGCTATATTGTGTTCATAGAATAGTGTTATTTAGTGCTGACTATAACACGGCGTAATGGTCTGTTAATATTGGCCTCGTGATCAGTTCCTCTTTTCATATGTGAGCATACAGGAGGTTATATGTGTAGTACTGTATAAACTGAATCAGAACTAAGTGCAATAAGTCACAAAATGACCTGCACATGATATATAGGTAAAGAAATAATTGTCGCAGCTGAGATACAAATGGAAATATTGGTTACAAGAAGCTTTAAAAAAAATTCAGCTTTGATCGTCAGGATTGGAACTCGCCTTCCCGGAGGGCGCTAACACTAACTGAGCGACCATTCAACCTGGATACAGAAGACAGGAAGAGCTACCCCGTGGAATGCCTACTTCTAATTACTATTTCTTAAAATATCTATATTTCTCCTTATTTAGACACGTCTTAAGGAGCAATCTCCTTGCCTGTGTCCCCCAAAGGAACAAAAATATTTACTTAAGTTATGACGTAGGAGTTTCCTTCACCTTCTTGCAAGCAGCTGACACCGGCATCCCGCTCATGGCCACAACTGTTCTCACCCCACCCCTGATGGGGGCAGTCTGTAAGAGACTTTTCCCTTCCTGTGCACATCATCTTACTCAGCCACACGGGTCCAGTCCCTTGGCCAAACTTTGCTCGCTTTGCCTGTAGGATGAATATTTGTGTTAAGCTATTGCAAACTACACCTAACGAGCTCGGAATAAATTTATTGCAATTGAATTAAGCGTGGAAACGCACTTACGACAAGAGACCTTTGATTTTTCAAAAGGAACCAATCGTTTTCCATTGCCTTGGGGGATCAGAGGATTTTTGTTCTGTCGCAGTAAAATTTACGTGATCCCTCCCTATTCTAATTATTCCCCCTCACTGAACTTTAGTTGTCCTTAGTCCTCCATTTAATCTCCGTTATCGATGACTGTTCCACCACCGTTCCCCCCCTGAAAACCATGTGATCCCCCATATTCTTCGATCTCCCCCTCCCTGGCCCCCTCGCAGGCGATGGATAGTGAATGGTAATGATCACTGAAAAAAAATCTTGCCTGATAAATTGCTTTAAGGAAACCCATCTGCTCACACACCACTGTAGCGTCCTCAAACGACCATTCATCATCACAAATTGTGCCCCAGGTCCCTTGGTGCTGTACTTCCACTCGACCTTGGCCCACGTACGTTGCATCAGGCGGCTGTACAAGCCGAATGACATCTTCTGTGAATAAATTGAGAAAGACGAGTTTTTAAGTATACTTCGAATGTCTTTCCCGGAATCAATCCCTATCACTAGAGTATGATATATTTATAACCATATTTAGCCTGGTCTGAAAATTTTCGTCAAAAACAGATCGACGGACATGCGGCCAGAAGAAGAAAGGGAAACTGCAAAATTTTTTTTTCAACGCTTTCGACTATCGCTTGTGATAGGCTTTAAAAAAAAAAGAAGGTAGAGGAGTTTATGTCCCAGTTTAGTCAAATAAACTCCACCCGATATGACGATCAAGAAAACTAACTGTAAGCTGTTTAAACCGAATTTTTTCAAAACGTGGCAGGCAGTACAATAGGCCGGTAGTAATGTGGGTTTTTGCAGCGTGTTCTCTGAGATAATAAACAGTATGAGAGGCAAACCTCATGTGCCTACTTTTATTCTAGAAATTTTTTTCTCCCCAGTGACCCATCTTTCCCATTAGGCGTTACCCTCTTTTAACCAATTTCCAACTTTATCAAAATTAAAGAATAACTGTCTTATGTGTAGTAGATTTCAAGATTGGTTATGAACTCAGTTATGGTTAGTTAAGACGGTATTTACGCGAAATTCCGAATTTCCCTGTTTTACAATTCTAAGTACATTCTAATTACATGCCGCTGAAAAGGAGTTTTAACGAAATGAACACTTACCTGAAAGAGCAGCGTGAAAAACGATGAAAATAAAAATAGCGCAATTCATTTTCAAAGACTATAAGACACAGAATAGAATTGAAGGCGGAAAACAAATTAGGCTAAATTTTTGATGGGTAAATAAAATTCTGTATTTAACTTTTCACACGTCAGTTTGTACAGACATCTGCCTGTGTGAAAACACTATTTAGAATTGAGTGGCATAGAAATGTTGTGTTTGTTTTTCATTAAAAATGGGCTCGTTTATATCATTACTGAATGAAGTTGAATTTTTACTGTAAAAGAAGGAAGAAAGCGTTGCAGTTTATTTGAAATAGTCTTGTTTCCATCCTCATGGGTTTAATTATATATAGCTTAGACTGAGAGTTGCTTAGAAATACGACTGGAATCGATCTTTAAAACTTGAGCCTCTAGATGTCAAATATGTACAGTCGATACATGAAAAGTCTGAATTTGAAGCTCTTAAAACAAACTTGAAGTCTTACAGTACCCTTTTCCGATTTCCGTTTCTAATTTATATAGTTTACAAAGCTCCAATGATTTTCTAAGAAATGTCAAACAAGGAAGACCGAACAAAGACAAAAATTGAAAAAAGTACTTTTGAAAAAGTGATGAATCTGGAGGAATCACAGTGCTTTTATTGCTCAATACTTTTGATCCGTTTGGTTTGGTCACCATTTTACTGAACTTGCTTTGTTAAAAGGATTTTTGGTAAAATATGAAATAAAAATCTCGGACTTAAAAAAAAACTGTTGTCGATATTTCTCCCGAGCACAAACAAGCTTAAGGTTATTTTAGTGGTAGCATCCCCTGCATAATCTGCTTGTTAGGAGAAGTCATTAAAACGCTTGAATCCTCGACTTTTAGTTTCCTTCATCTATAGCAAAATGTTTATCCACAGACAACAACAATACCCCCGATTATTAAAAAAGAACAATTCATGCTGTGGAGAAAATCAAAGCTTTTTTGTTAAGGGCTTTAAAAACTAACATTTAGAGTCAATAAGGAAATTGTTTATTTGCTTGAATATTTGTCACCTTCTTCTTACAATTCGTTAAATAGCTTATTAGGTTTTTTTCTTCTAAGCTGGCTTTCATTTTGCACTTTCATTCATTTTTATGAGATAAAACGTTCCAGAAACGGTTAATAACGATATTATGAAGAATGAGGAATAAAAAAATCAAATAAAACCAGAATTTATAAGCGATCTGAAAATTTAAACGCGGAAGACGTGAGTGCTCTTTGCTTTTGGCCTTGAAAGAAGTAAACACAAATACAATTTAACTTTTACGCGAACTAAAAATTGCCTTCTATTATCTCCGGAATCAGAGAGAATTGTTTACTTAATTTGATCTATGTTTGACATGGTGAATTTCTGTCATACAATTGCTAACATAAGAAAATATGAAAAACTTAATACAATGAGGAAAAAATTAAGCAAATTCTGATCAATCAATCATCTTCAAAGACACTACGCGCATTTGTTTGTTCAGTTTAGGAATAGCGGTCTCGGCGAAACATTACATTTTGTACTGTGTTTTGGAAAATTTATTGGGTGCACATATACAAAACTATGAAACTCCTTTCAATCTCAATTTTTTTGATGCTGTTTCATGAAGGAATTTCAGGTAAGGACCAATAATCTTGTTCTATCTATCAAAAAACTTTTTTTATTCGTAGTTTGATAGTATAGGCTAAAAGGTTGTAAAAGAAGGTTCAGTTGCGAATTCCTGCTAAACCTTCAATCTAATCTCTTTATCATCTACTCAGACTAAATTTTGTTCTAGACTCGTTCGTGTACGCTATTCGCACGTGACTGCTGATCCATGCTAAAGAAACTGTGGTGCTGCGTCGGTGCGGGAGTATCACAAGATAATTCGGTTTCATCAACTAAGTTGATAATGTAAATTGGCCACTAAAAAGAGCTTCTAAGGTTTATCTTGCGAGCGTAAACCCTTTGTCTTTCACTCAGCCGACAGTGGGCAATTTACATTATCAACTCAGTTGATAAAACCAAATCATCTATTAGACGTATATTTCGGTTGGGTTAACTGTTTTCACTTTTATCAAGACTGTTTCACCAAAGCACAAAGATTCACGTGGAATCAAAAACGAAAAAAAGATTATAATGCACGCCTGTAATTAACACAATAAGTATTACTTCGATATATAGCGCGAAAACGCAAAAGTTATCTCTTTATCACCAGTGAATTTTTTATGTGTTTCTGATGAGTATATTTGAATTTACTCCAGGTGCAATCCATGGTAAATAAAAATTGACGGGGCTCATTGCATGGTCTCGTTCAAATCGAAGTCGCAAAATCGAAAGAATCAGTGATAAATATCATCACAATTTGTGTCAGTAGTTACTGACCCTGTTGATGCGAGCCTCGAAACAAACTCAAACATTAAAATAAAAATAATGACATAAAATTTATCTTATTAAATAATCAGTGATGTGTGGGATTTTGTGTTAAAGTATTACTGAATAGTGTTGCAAGGGCTCAGTTTAACTGACCACTGACACTGATTTTGCATTTGGTGTTCCAGACTTGTTTTCCCTGCTCCTGTGAATTTTGTAGTGCCATTCTTACAGAGAGCCCGCGTCTATAAATTTTCAACTAACATCTTTTCAACCTTTTGAATAAAAAAATTATCTTCAGAATTTTTTAATATCTCTTTTGTATTTTAAACATTTCTTGTTGCTTTATGCAATAGGTAAGTCCAAAGTGCCTTTTCTTATTGGGATTTTATATATCGATGAGATCGCGAAATGCAAGGGTTAAAACTGACAGGCTTAACAATTGTATGTATCTAACATTGTTGCGCTATTCTTTCAGACCACATAGCCGGTCAAGAGGTTTTCTTCAACTCGTTGAAACAGCTAGAGATCGACCGCCAGGAAGCACTGCTTAAGCTACCTTACGGTAAGGGGTTAGGGTTACTAAGTAATAGATTTTATATGGTCAAAGATATGATGTTTAACTCAAGGTGTGGCTCCTTCATTTGTAGTATTATCTTTCAGTAACTTTGGCCAAATCAAAACTTTAAGGACCTAGACTTAAGTTCATCTCTTTCCCCAAGCTAAAAGTGACAAGAAAAGGCGGAACTTACTCTCTGGCGTTTCACACGCCACCGTTTGCGCACCCTTCAGGAAGAACTTGGTAACCTCGACGTGCGGTCAATAACCCTATACCACGATGC